TCCTTTCTCATGGCATCTGTTATGTGCCTTATCCTTTATCATATTTATGTGACCTTTTCTTCTTTTAGTATTGGTTCTATTGGAACTAACATCCTTCCCTTCGAGGGGCATTGTGAGGATTAGAAGAAATAATTATTGCAAGGCTGACTTACAGTTTAGTAATCACATGTCCTGGTGTGCCCTTTACGATGAGCGTTCAAAGTACAAAGTGTTCTTTTATTTAGTCTGTAGCTCAGTGCCTGCAACTATGTCATTCACAGTTTACTTGCAGTTAGTTTATGTCAAATGAAAATCTGATCAAATGCATATTTACTCTGATAAATCCTGTCTTCATATGTCCCAAAAAATAGGTATAGTATATTTTTATTACTTAAGCACATACTCTTAACCAAAATTATTCCCAACATTTAAAACAAAATACTGATCAAATCAGTGCTATGGATGTATGTTTCCATAGCAAACTGGGAATTTTAATTTGAGAATTGTATGCATATTTTAATAAATAGATTCTTTCTTCGAGCTCTTGAGAAAAATGTCTCTCAATTATATGATATAATCCTTAATTTATATTTCCCTTTTACTGATATGATGATTTGACCCGAAAATTTTGCAGTAATATTTTTATTACATGTGAGGGCAAACTCTTTAGGTATAATATTCAAAATAATGTTGTGTGAGATTTTATTTAATACATTGTTTGTCATGCTTGAATTCTCTATTAGAGGAATATTTGACTGCTAAAGTTAATGGTGCTTCAAAGAAACAATGAAAAATCATAGACAAATATTTAAAAATCATTTTAACAGTCTTCACTAATAAGGAAAAAGTGAACAAAAAATGAAAGTTTTATATGTTATCATTTTTCAATTTGAAAATTACATTTTGGAAATGAATAAATCCATTCCCACAATTATAAAATGTTTGCTATTCTATATGCCATTTCAAACAGACTCAAAATAAAAAGATGCTAACATAATGCCTCCTCTAGTAAATTTATATTCTAATATTCATTTAGTTTTTATGAATATGAAAAAGTCTTATGTTAATAAGAGATGTTACAAACTTCTGTGGATTGGAATTTAAGATAAAGGCCCAAATATTTAGTTTGAATGTAGGTACCTATTAATTATACATTATTATTTATAAGAGAAGAGCAAAAGTTTGTAATTTAATTCTCATTTTCAGAAATTTATCAACATAAGAAATTACTTTGGGCTAATATTTTTCACACAATATTTTCAAGATTTTAGTATAACTCAGATATGTCCATTTGGTATCTGGGACAAAATAACTATTTTAAATGTCCAACTAGAACTGTCCACAGGTTAAAGTTGTTCAGAGAATTTATGATTTGTCTAATATTTTATGTGCATTATTAACTATTGCCTTTAAAGTGTAGGTAAGGAGAGTGGAAGTGTGGTTGTAATCTTGATGTTTCAGAACCCAGATTATGTAAAACCTCCGTGTCATCTCTTTCTTCTAACTCCTTCTCATAAACACATATCACAAACACACACACTTTTACACACACACACACACACACACACACACACACTCTCACCCCATTTATTTATTTATTTTTGTACTGGGTGTTTGAACTTATGACCTATCCTTTTTCTCTTTCTTTATTTCCTTCCTTCTTTATTTATTTTTGCTTCTTTCTTTCCATACTGGTTCAAGCTCTATTTTTTACATATAAATATCAGGACAATGGAACTATTGATAAAATTATTAATTTTTCAAAATTGCTATTTCTTTGGGTAATAAATATTCTTCAACTCTATTTTCCTTTCCTATCATCCAAATTGTTCTAATTCCTTTAAAATAATAGAAATTTATTGTCCACATAACAGTACTTAAGAATTCAGTGAAATTCCATGCCAACTTCTTACTGATACCATTATAATGTATTTTTGGTTGCTATTTTTTTTTTTTTTTTACTTTTATTACTGCCTGCTTGCAGTACCTAATGATTACATGCAATATGGCAACCAACAGGGAAGAGGAGACCTATAGAATGGGAAAAAACAAATTTTGCCAACTGCTGTTTAAATAAAGGACTAATTTCTATCATATCTGAATAATTTTTAAAAATAAATTATTATGGATGAATCATGTTATTATTATGATGATGATGATGATGTTTTAAAATTAAGATTATAACTGCATACATATTTAAGTGTATAAGATAACCATATTATTGACTTTTGTTGGATCATTGAACAAATCTGTTTGCAGTCTCACTGTTTGAAAGTCCCCTCTATATGCTTTAATTTTGTAACTTCAACAACTATTTGTAAGATGACAATATGTAATTAACTAGTGATTTCCTACTGCTTATTTTTCTGAAATTCTGTATAACTTGTACCCTTTTTCTGTTTTTTTTTTCTTTTTTCTCCTTAAATAAAATTTAAAAAAAAATAAGATTATTACTTAAGGAAGAAAAAATGTAATATAAAACCCATGCATATTTAGTATGATCTGTGCCTGAAACTTGTGTAATTATCTCAGAATTTTAATATAGAAACAATACTGATTTTTACAATATACACTCTATTAGATATAATGATGTGAAGAAATATAGTTTTGTACATAAAAATGTATATGTAATAAACACAGGAAAATTGCCATTGCATTTTTTGACATTTTAATATAAACCTAATGGATAAATATGAAAATTGTGATAGTTTACTGAGTTTATCCATTTAGATCAGCATTTTGTAATTATATGTCCAAGAGTTGATCAAAATATGCAAATTAAATTTTAAAAAAATATTATAGTAAAAGACATATTGCCATTAATTCCCCTCCCCCAAATATATCCCCTCACTTTGAACAAACATCCCATTGTTCTTGCCATTTTCTGAAGCAGATCTGCGAATTCCCTTTCCAGAGAGTCTTTCTAAGTTTGAATCAACAACATGGTGAACGTTGCTGCCAAATTCCAGTCAAGGGCAAGGCAGGCTCAGAAAAACACCAAGAGCCTTATTTATACAATATGACATCAAGTGGCCTCTTGGTCTTCCCCAAAATCAAAGTAATCATGAAAGTTAAGCATTTTGAATCTATTTATAACATGTCATGAAACACAACTAAAGATAGTCACTATCATTTTCAAAGACAGATAATCTACTGGAGAAGAAAATAAACTCAGGATACTTCAAAAAAGAGAACCATAGCAAGATTTAAAAATATTTATTATTATTTTTAAGATATTCAAATTAAAATATCACAATACACAATTACAATTTTAATCAAAATGATTAAAATGACAAGAGTCAAAATTTCAAATTAGTGGCATCTGTAGGTGCAACTGAACTTCATGTCCTGCTTTCAAAAATTGATAGCCACTTTGGTTAACTGTCATTATCTGTTATACCAGAATACACATAGCCTGCATACACAAAGGAGCATGTATATTTGTTCCTAAAAGACATAGCCTTGATATCTTTAACACCACTACTCCTAAGAACCAAAGTATGAAGGTTCCTCAATTGCTTATGATGTGTGAGAAAGGATGAATAATTCGGACTATCCACCCAGTTGAATATTATAAAGCAATGAAGACGAATGATTTGCCATCACATTTACCATCACAATCTCATCAACAGAATATCAAGAAAAAAATAGAATCTACAGTATAATTTAATTCATAGAATGTGAAAAGGAAAGGAAATTTTGCTTTTAGAAGTCAAGATACTGTTTATGTGCTATGGGAACAGTGAATAATAAATAGCAAATTAGGGATAGCAAGCAACTTCTACTGGTCTTTCAAATTTTTAAACTTGTATGAGTGCTGGATATCTGAATAAATTCATTTTAGAATTCAGTGAGATCATCTTTAAAGGTGAGTAATTTTCTCTTTGTATATTTACATAACAATTTCAAATACTACTGATAATAAGCCTTTTAAGTATGTCATGTTTAAATATTCTGTTAAACATTTTCTAATATTTAAATATTTAAACATTTTATAAATTGTAATAATTTATGAAATATTACTTGGTGATTATATATATCTCCAAGTAACTCTCCAAAATTTATTCCAATATTAGCAAAATCTTCCTGGTAAGATGAAGTAATATCCCTTTTTTCCAAGTGACATTCACTTTTAGTCACTGTATGGTGAATGTACATAAAAAATCCATCCAGAAATCACACCTTAGAGTTCCCAGACCTGACTATTATCTACAGCCATTTAAAACATCTTCTTCAAAATACACTTCAAAAATCTACATTCCCATATAAACAGCTTTCACCAGTTGCCTTTGTGCTTCCAAAAATATTTCTCCTTACATATAAACTTTATAATACAATATTCAAATTTTCTAGGTTTTATATATTTTATTATGAGCTCTATCTTTAGCATGTTTACTATTTAAGAACAGATCCACTCTATATATTCTTTTTAATAATTAAACTACCACTTTCACAACACAAATCAGCATATACCTGTATATGTTTTGTAATGAATTATTATACAAATAAATTGTCTAAAACTTGACTTGAAATCACTTATTATTTCTTATTTTATTTCCACAGTTACATGTTACTTTCAATTCCCTGAAGCTTGGACATCAAGTCTTTCTAAAGGAACCTGGTTTTGATAAATCTTGACAGGTGATAAAATAAGTTTTACTTTAAATAACTCACCGTCTCTATTCATTGGAATCAAATAGACCTTGCTATGGAAAAGTTAATATATAAAATTGTCACTCATGCCCAAAGTACTTTTTCTGTTTTATAAATCTTTACCTTTCTGTACCGTCATTTTTTAAATTCAGTTAGAACCCCATGAAAGATGACATCAAATAACTCATTATAATCTACCCCTAAATATAGAAATTTTGATAGAAAATATCCCAGTTTCTTCAACATGTATAATAAAATAGCAAGTGAATCATCTCAGTTCCCTTTACTTTTAAAAACTAGACATTATTAATCAGGAATAATCAAAAAGAAAATAACTCTAAAATTAGGTATATTAATTAACATCTTACCGTAAATTCACAGGTTAGGAATTCAAAGAAAAAGTTCACCACCCTGAGACCTAGAAAAGTACAACCAAAAATATTCTATGTTAGTTCTGGCATTCAGTTTTAATTCAAACACCATAAAAAGATAGAAATTCAATATTATGAGAAATTTTGTACTATGACTAGTTAATGTACATTTAATTTGACAGTTTTGACAATATTTGCCTGAAAAAGCATTACCACTTACATCAGCTCATATCAAATTATTGTGATTTAAGTTTAATTGCTTTAATTTAGGCTGTTTAAAGCAAGGATGACAAACAAGTAGAAAATTTTTGTTATTGTCTTTCTTTCTTGTGGGACTATGAGAGCTTGCTACTTCAGCAGGCAAAATACATTTTGCATATATCATTTCAGAGAGCCATATCTGCTGCGTTCATTTAGCAGGATGAGTGTATACACATTCACATGCACACACTCAAATGTGATTATTATGTATTAGTACTATTTTATACTTATTCATCTATCCTAATCATCGAATAATACAGAACTCATCATGAATATGAAGTTTTAAAGACAGCCTAGTATTCCATAGTTTATTATACATCCTAAATAGGTGAAGTCTTTTGTTTTAATAAAAATGTAGTATGATACTGCTTTTAAATCTAATCACCTGGTTCATTTCATCAGTGACCTTAGTTAATAGTTGCTGCATTGTTTTTGCAAAGTTTATATTATTGGGACTAGAAGTTTAGCTAAGTGGCACGGCACTTGCCTGGAAAGCTCAGGATTGTAAGTGGAATTCTCAAAACAAAAGCAATCAAATAAACTTTTTTTTATAATTTTGATGCATTTATACTACCTAATAAATACACATTCTTTAGCTCTTAACTTACTTCTTTTTACACACACATGCAAACACACAAACACACACACACACACACAAATATATAGTTTCATATAAGAGAAACCACAGATAAGTAGGAGGTAAGAAGTTTAAACAATCCTCACCAATAAATAAATAATTCCTCAAGTGACCTATTGTACTGTTTCAAAATACTTATTAATATGCTAATTTATTCCATTTATACTACTAGTTTCTCTTCATTGCAAAAACTTTGTGCAATTATCTGTTTCTTTTTTGGAGGAAAGATTCTTTTGTGTATGTCTTGTACATTGAGTAAGTACTTTGAACATAATGAAATCGAGGGTATTATCTAGTTATTCTCATATTTTGTTTCTACTTCTTCATAAAATAAAAAAATGTTAAAAAATCTATTTATTTCTAAGTCTATAAATGCTGTTTTAACGAAACAAAAGAAACAACATATAATCTCTGCTATTATTGAAGAAACTATCAGTATTTTTGAAATCTAGGAAACTACAGATAAGTGGCATAGGTTCTCTATTCTGTGATGACTAGATAATTGTAACATAATAAAAGAGAAAAGAGAAACTGTAACACACTGAATCTATCAGGTCAGTACTCCAACAGTTAGTATTATTTTGAAGGGTATATTCATTTCAGCATCTATGTAATGATAATTGTTCCAACTAGTTTTACCATAATTTAGAGAAAAGTTATACATAAATTCATTGATAAAGGAGTAATATTTTCTTTTAGAACAGATTATCATTCATAAAAGTGAATCAGACATTACAAAGAACCAATTGAAAACTGAAGTATATATATCATCCTCTTCATTTAATGTTACAGGAAAGTAACGGCACTTGCCATGAAGGTGCTAACGTACTTGTTAAAGTATGTTGTTCTTATTCTGCAAACCAAAATTCATGTATAGAATTATAACTTTAATTATGAATCCTCTGAAATTTTTGGCCAACTCAGTGAGTTAATTGTGGCGCAGACTAGATCCATCCCATTTGCGATTCTCAGTCTATCTTGTCCCACTCTAGTTGTGTCATCTCTACTGGTCTGCCCATTCCAGTGTCGGGAGCTCCCCACAGAAATGTCTCCTTCCCGCTTTTACCAAACCCTGAGCACACGGCTTAATCTTTTGCATCCAGACTTACTCTTCTAGTATGACTTTCTGCTTTCATTCTCTTTAAAAGAATTGAGACGATAATTTCAGGAGATCTAGTTCCTACTGAAATAAGTTAAAAAGGGAAACTTCTCTGAGGAATCTGTACAGTGTGACTTAAAACATTCGTACATCAAAAAGTCAATCAACGACTCAGTAATCCTCCCACTCTTCCTTTTCATCAAGCGATGCAACAATTTTGGTGGAACTAGAAAAGAGTGAAGTGTTACAATAAACATTTGGCTGAAAGGAAATTATTACCAATATCCACTAAACTTGCTGGATACACAAATTAAAATTTTAATTGTTATTACCATTTTGTTATTAAAAATTTAAAGCTCTAAGCTTTTGACTTTATAATACACAAACAACAGTTTCTTTTTTATTTCTTAGCACTATCAGAAGCTAAATTCCTCCTGTGGGCACCATGCTATATATTTGTAATATTAAAGTGAGGCTTTCAGCTGTCTCATAGGGTTTCAATAAAAAGCATGTAAGCATTGCATGTCCTCCAGTCACATCTAGCATGTTTGTCTATATCTGAAAATGAGCATTTAATTGTTAACAACGAATACAATGTTTACCTTTTTGTATTAAACAACATCATTACAGTTGAATAGATTGTGGGTATTGTGATTGTTAAGCTACTGTCCATATTTAAATTCAGGGACTCAGGCAGGGCATGGTGGTGCACACCTGTGATCCTAGCACTCCAGAGACTGAGACAGGAGGATTGCTGCAAGTTCGAGGTCAGCCTGGGTTACAAAGCGAGTTCAAGGCCAGCCTGAACTACATAGTGAAACCATGTCTCAAAAAGACAAATAAGTAAATCAATTAATTAATTCAGAGGTTCTAGGAATGGTATTGAATGCATTTGACAAATTGCTTTCTTATGGCTAAATCCAAGCCTGCGAGGTGATTTTAGGTATACAGAGAACCTCATGAAGAAATACAGTTAACTCCAAATTTTTCAGTGTTATATGAGGCTTGACTCAGGGAAGGGTACCGAGTTCTGAGCTTTATTTAAAGAGGAAATAATCAATTTTAACATCATATGCACAAATATTTTTAGTGGAGATATTTATATTGCAGGACTAGTTATTAAACTGTTTAATGATATATGCAAAATGTATTTTGCCTGCTGGTATTAACCCAGTGATATTGGTACTGGGTTAGAGTTTTATCCTTCATGTGTTTCAGAACATTATATTTCATGTAAACATTTAGTTAAATACACTTGATCAGTTAAATGTACTTATTTTTGGAGATACAACAATTCAGAAAACACTACTGCTAAACTAAGTAAGGAAACCTCTAGAGAAACTACTGGTTATTTCATAATTCTAATATCCTAAACCATTATGTGATAGGGAATTCTTAGAGCAATGTTCATATGACTATCAAATTAATAAAAAGTTTAATAGTTGCACTTAAATTAGTATTTATAAAGGTAAATTCATGCCATCGATGGCTGAATTTATCATACCCAATACTTACTATTTGGACAAATTCATGTAATTAGCATGTCAGATGGTGATTCAAAGATGGTGATTAGCATGTCAGATGGTGATTATAAAATACTAAATTGCTTTGGTTTAAATTTAAACTTGGTTTAAATTTGCAGAGAGATTGATTTGGAGGGTGAGAGGGAAGAACTAAATATAAAAATAATTTGGAAATCTGAAACTTAGGGAACAGTATTCATTCATTCATTCATTCATTTGCAGTTGTTGGGATTGAATTCAGGGCCTTACGTATGTTAGGCAAGCACTGAACATATCCCTAACCTTACAAAAAAAGTATTAAATAAATGTTAAGACTTTTCAATAATTAACTATGCATAACTATAAAGATACTTGTAAGTTTAAGAAAATAATAATTATTATAGATAATACTTTCATAAGATTACTGTATTTTATTTCATGCATCCTCAGTGCTCACAAACGTATTAGAGCTTTTCACAATTTCAAATTAGGGACTGAATGCTAAAATTTACCTAAGTAAATTCTTAAAAAAAAACATTTTACTAATACGTTGTGGAATAAAAATTCAACATTTTCTTGCACTGTACATTGTGGCATTTGTCTCTCTCATCCCAGTATTCCAGCGGCTAAGGTAGTCTGGGCTACATAGCATATTTCAGGCCATCTCAAGATACACAGCAACATCTTGTGCCAACTTCAAAAAAAATTCAACCTGATCATAAGCCATATACCAAGGTAGAATAATCTCGTAGATCATACTTATCAAAATATATGTTAGGCATTGGACTATTTTATATATAGAGTCATGAGGGTATTGTTCTTTATAACACAAAGTTTTCACTAAATATACTTTCACACTAAGCTATCAACCATCATACAAAACATCTTTAACTGATGTTTAATCATTGTGCAATATTCTTCCAAATACTATTTGAATGAGCACATATGTGAAGTATTACTTTCAAGATTAGTGGTAATTATGTAATTATTATATGTGCATTCTTAATTTTCTGGTAGTTTCTGTTAGATAAACTATACTCAACAATTGAATACATATTATTTTCCCAGGAGTATATCAAATACTTAACTTCATTTCATTTTATTTCCACAATTCTACAAGATATTTTGAAGAATCTTATTGTATTCATTTAAAATAGACTACAGGGATTGATGAATATATCCAATAACACACTCCTAGTAGATGACACAGCTGAGATTCAAATGTTAACTGTCTTGATCCATAGTTGTATGCAGTGTAAATATTAGTTTAACAATGAAAAGATGTAAAGGAAATTAGGGGCTGCTCTTTTGTTTATTTAGAAAGAAATATGAAATGCCAACTTAAAGTAGAGATGGCATGACATCCCCAATCATTAAATCTACTTATAGTATAAATTAAAATCTATCCTTACAAATCTAATATTACTAGTATTAATTTTAGATAATGATAGTTGCATATCTACCTCACTACATGTTCTCTTGAAAAACTATGCATTATTTATAAGACCTACCAATTTCTGAAATTTTCTGTCAATAAATTTCAGAACA